GTGGGGAGAAAGGAGCCCTTCTCCATTGTTGGTGGAAGTGCAGACTGGTGCAACCACTGTTAAAATCAGTATGGAGATACCTCAAGAACTAGGGCTGGAGGTCTCATTTGACCCAGCTATTACCCTACTAGGTATCTTCCCAAAAGAATTAAAAGAATCATACCACAGTGATACATGTGCACCCATGTGCATAGCGGCACAGTTTGCAATAGCTAAAGCTTGGAAACAGCCCAAGTGCCCATCAACTGGAAACTGGAGAAAGAAGATGTGGCTTTTTTAAAAAAATAAAATTGAGTACTACTCAGCCATAAAGAATGAGAAACTAGAGACATTTATAGCTAAATGGATGCATATCCAGGCCATACTCTTAAGTGAAATAAATAGGACACACATGTAAATACCAAACAATTTCTCTGGTGTGAGAAACTGAAAGTGTAAATGATGATTAAAATGCATAATTGATAGTGGGAAATAGGAAGAAATGGTCCAAAGGTATAGAGGAAGAAGGAGGGGTAGGGGAAAGGAAAGAAGGGAAAGGAAAAATTATGAGAAAATGAAAAAATGGAAACAAAGTCTTTGTACATAGGGAAGGGTGGAGGGGGTGAAAGGAGGACAGGAAATGTGGATAAAATAAAAATCAAGATATATCATGTAAAGTACAAGTACCCAATGATAAATGTAAATGTATTGTATACCTAAAATGTACCAATAAAAGAATCTAAGAAAAAAAATATGTGATATGATAGATTAGGTTTTACCTTTAGATTGTGTCCTGGACATACAATTAAAGGATATAGGAGATAGACTGAATCATCTGACATGGCTATGTGAGCATAAAAATAAATAAGCCAGGCTGGATTGTCTAGGTGACAATTCTGAGTTCACAGGTATAGACTCTCCTCTGCATAAATGTAACCTTTGTTCTCAGACAGAGGAGTTCATAACAGACCAAGATGGTATCAGAACTGAACATACTGGAATAAATCTGTACTGTGTTCTACCTCCATGGCTTTCTGAACAACTGCACTGAGCAACTTCTTCCTGTGGTCCCATGAGAAAGACTCCTGGTGATTTTATCCTGAAATTACTTTTCCTGGCCCAGACTGGGGTCAGGGTGGTGGGGGATACCTTTCTTCTCTCAGCTTATGCCCCCACATCCTGTACTGGCCATGCACCAAGGCCCACACACCTGATTCTCACCCATGCGGCTGTGGCCAACTTCTTAGTCCTTCTCTCCAAGGGGATTCCCCACATGATGGTAATCTGGGGAATGACACCCATCCTGGGAAACACGGGATGTAAACTTGTCTATTATATCCACAGAGTGGCCCGAGGCCTTTCTCTCTGCACCACTTGCCTCCTGAGCAACTTTCAGGCCATCACCATTAGCCCCAGAGCTGGAGGGTGGGTGGGGCCCAAAGACCGATCTTGGAAGAAAATCAGTTTCTCCTGTGTTCTGTGTTGGATCTTCAACTTGCTGATAAATGTCTTTATTCCTATACGTATTGTGAGCCTTCGACATAACTGCAGTTCTACCATGGTATTGGACCATGGACTATGCTCTTCTGAAAAGCCTGAAACTTCTGCCTCAACAGGTACATTACTTTTGACATTCATGGATGTTGCGTTCCTGGGACTCATGACCTGGGCCAGTGTCTACATGATACTTCTCTTATATAAACACCAACAGCGAGTGAAGCATATTCACAGCACCAGTACCTCCCACAGATTCTCTCCTGAGGCAAAAGCCATGCAAACCATCCTCCTTACAGCAAGCATCTTTATTTTTCTTTATTCAGTCAATTCTTGTCTCACAATTTATGTTGCACTTTTCAAAGCTCACCTGTGGCTGCAACATATCACTACTTTTCTGGCAGCCTCTTATCCCACTACCAGTTCCTTGATACTGGTGTTTCAAGATTCCCAAGGATCAGCTTACTGCAGTTAAATGGTGAAGGAAAATTCCAAAATTGCCTGTGGTTCCATTCAAAATGAGTATTCAATTATTCAAATAAGAACATGTGGCTTTTTAGAACATTAAAGATATAACCCTACCTATGGATGGTAAAATTTTTGTATGATATGACTCAAACATGTAAGAGTCTTCCACTGAACTCAGAAGGCAGACATGCAACCAAATAAACACATTTTTGGTGTGTGTTACATTATCCTAATACTTGCTGCTTGTAAATTTCCTTTCAAATACTTTTTGGAACCATGGAAAGAAGTTTGAATAAAAAATCTGGAGATATGTTAATATTTTAAGGAGTTTATTATGGCAATTATTACATTGGATGCAGTAGTACAGTTTATATTGATATGCAGTAATGATTTTGTGTACCTATTATACTGTAACCTGTGGAAAGTCACTTATTTGCTGTTAAGCTTTGATTATTCATGTGTAAAATCAATAAATTGTATCCTATGAGATTATTTTGCAAAATAAATGAGATGATGAGGCAGGATTTTCAGAATGGTAGATGGAGGATCTCTGTCAATTCATTCTTCTGTAATAGTGAGATGATAACTGGCAAAACCATCAAAGTCAACTTTAAAAAACTCTAGATAATAGCCTAAATCTTACAATCAAAATTTGAACCTTCAAAACACGGTGGGGTTCATGTGGGGTTTTTAACTTGGTCTACTTGTGTCTGCCTCTCCTCAGATCTACACTAACTTTGAAAAGCAGAAGCCTCACAACCACTGTAGTTATGAAAACCTTTGCCATCAACCCTTGCCACCAAGAGTGGCAAGAAATAAGCTTGCCAATGAGTTTGGAAATCCTTGAGCACCCAGCTTAATGCAATACCATCACGTGACCCACGTACAGCTTAATGGTGAAGTCTGTTCCTTGTTTTACCGTTTTCTTCAAGTGGCTCATAAATACCTTTATTCCTATACACACTGAGGGCCTTCAGATTTTCCACAATTCTACCAAAATACAAAACAATGGGCTTTGCTCTTCTAAAAGTCCTAGAATGGAAAATGTTACCGATTATACTGACATTGGCAGATGTTGTATTCTTAGTATTCATGGCGTGGGCCAGTGCCTACACGGTACTTCGCCTATACAGACACCACCAGGATGTGAAGCATATTCACACTGTGGGGAATTTCCACAAATTCTCCCCTAAAGCAAAAGCCACTCAAACCATCCTGCTTCTAACAAGCACCTTCATTTTGTTTTATTCCAGCAATTCTGTCCTCACAATTTATAATGCTTTAGAATTTTGCCTCTGGCCACAGCATACTATTAGCTTTATAATAGCCTGTTATCCCACACTGGGCCCCCCCCGATACTGATGCTTCAAGGTCCTCAAGCAACAACTTGCTGCTCTTAAATGGTGAAAATGAAATCTCCAATTATCGGTCATCCCATTTGTTTTTTATTGGCATATGTTTCACCCCTATTCTAGATCCTCCTGCCATTTCCACAAAGTTTACCTCCCTGTTTCCTATCATCTTTTTTTAAATTTTGTTCTTTAAATTGTTTGTATTTTAGAGTTTCCTATGTAAGAGAAACCATGCAATATTTCACCTTCTTTGTCTGATTTATTTCACTTAATATTATGGTCTCAAGATCCATCCATTTCTCACAAATGATTCAGATCAATCCTTCCACGTTGCAGAGTTCTATCTGTCCATCTGTCTGTCTGTCTGTCTTCTCACACTTTCTTTACCCATTCTTCTATTTAGGGACTTATAGGCTCCTCACAAAATTTAGCTACTATGAGTTGTGCTGCTATAAACGTGGGTATGCATGAATCCCTGTAATATGATGTCTTTAATTCTTTAAGGAAGATACCCAGAAGAGGTAGGTATAGGTCAATTGGAAGTTCTATTTTTAGGTTATTGTAAAATCTCCATACTGATTTCCATAGCAGTTGTACTGTTTACATTCCCACTGACGACATAGAATGTTCTTGTTGCTCCACAACCCTGCCAACATTTGTTGCTGTTTGAATTCTTGATAGTAGCCTTTGTTTGTGGAGTCAGATGCAATTGAAGTAATGCTTTGATTTGCATTTCTCTAATGGCTAAAAATACAGAACTTTTTGATGTGCTTACTGGTTACCTGTACTTCTTTTTAGCAGTGTCTATTCATTTCAATTGCCTATTTTTGATTGGTTCTTTTATTTTTTTGGAATTTTAAAAAATATTTTGGTTATTGGTCCTCTATCTGAGGAATAATGAGAATCTTCAGCTGCTGGTTGACAGGCCCAATGGCACCTACTGTTTTAGGCTGCACAACGACCGGGTGTACTATGTGAGTGAGAAGATGCTGAAGTTGGCCTCCAATATCTCCGGGGACAAGCTGGTGTCACTGGGGACCAGCTTCGGAAAATTCACCAAGACTCACAAGTTTCGGCTGCACATTATGGCTCTAGATTACCTGGCACCTCACGCCAAGTATAAAGTGTGGATAAAGCCTGGAGCAGAGCAGTCCTTCCTGTATGGAAATCATGTATTGAAATCTGGTTTGGGCCAGATCACTGAAAATACTTCTCAGTACCAAGGAGTGGTGCTGTACTCCCTGGCAGACATCCCTTTGGGTTTTGTGGTAGCAGCAAAGTCTACCCAAGACTGTAGGAAAGTAGACCCCATGGCGATTGTGCTATTTCATCAAGCAGACGTTGGGGAATACATAGGGCATGAAGAGACGTTGACTTAAAATGAAGTCGTCAAGAATTTAACAGCTGTGTGGAAGGGCCTAGTATTGTTTCCTGTGTCTGTGCAGATGCTTCTATCATGTGGAATTTTGTCAACACTGTGACCTTTACAAGGACTTCTTAGTTTAATATTCTGTCACTAAAAAGTGCAGGCTGGATTCTTACTATACAGAAATGCCTCAGAAGTGGTTTCAAATCTTTGTGTTTGTGTTTGTGACTAAATAGAATATTCTTATTCTATACTTGAATCATTTTTATATTTTGAATCAGAGGGCTTCTTAGGTTTGAAATCATTGGAACTGAGGACCAGAATAGCATTCTTGTTGATATTATTAATTTTAGTTCATGTTTATGGCCTATAATGTCCACATTCATTTCCATTTCAGTGCTTTAGTTTTCAAGCAAAGATGTATGGATATTAGAAGATGAAGGATACACACCAACATATGGGGGGGCCAAGGATTTAGATCAGTGGTAGTATGCCTGCCTTGCAAGTACAAGATCCTGAGTTCAATCCCTGATACCAAAAAAAAAAAAAAAAA